TTAGACAAAAGCTCAGGTGAGAGACTAAGATGAATGTCTTTCCTCTCCTTACTTCCCACAAGATTTCCTCCTGGAAACGTCTTCGGTAGATCTGGCCAGGAGCTTGCCTTTATGTAAATTGGAGAAATATGAACACCATACACTATCCACAGATATAGAACAAGTAGATTTGGGTAGAGGATATTATTTCCAAAGTAGCATTTTAGTTCACCTAGGGGGGTGTGTTTGCATACACATTTACATATACCCACGTGGGGACATAAGCTAATTTTTTTTTTTACAGGACACAGAATTCTGTTCAATGCTGTTAAATATGCCAATAGCTTAATCTCTTCTATTTTGTTGTTGTTGCTTGTTTGAAGAAAATCATGACATTCCAAGTTGATCTTTTATTTTTTTTTCATTTTAATTAAAATTTGAAATTCTGAGCACCCTCAGCATCCCTCTAATTGGGGTCATCTGACCTCTGTCCTCCTTTTCTCCTGCTTCATGTTTGGGGCCTTCATTTAACTGCCTTTACTGGCGTGGCTCAGATGGGAGATGCGAGTTAGTGTGGGTCAGGGCCTGGGCACAGGAAGGAAAGCTGCAGTGTCCTGCCTTGGCTAGATGGCCACCTTTCCTGGGTTTGGGGACAACTTGCTCCTTTTCCTGTAGCTTACTAGTGGGTGAATGCCACCTCCTAAGGCCCTCACCTCATAGAATTAAAAGTGGTGGTCACTGGGAAAACCTGACTCTGCAAACAGCTGTAGGGTTTTTGTTGTGTTTTTTTGAAATAAAACTATAATATAAATTCTCTGATTAAATAAAATTATTTTAAGTTTTAGTGTTGAAAGTGAGATGCCAAGAGTAGGTGATAAAGTATATTTTACAGAACTGAGGATGCTAGGATGGTTACATTTAACATGATGGCTCTGTCTCTTTTTTCAGATTATGGGTATTTGTCCTCTATTAGTATTTGTATCTTCAGTTCATTCCACTTTAGGAAACAGAGCTGCCAATTTAAACGGAAAAAAAAAAACAAGCAGACAACACAATGTAATGTCTCGCTCACAAACATATATGCCCAGGCAAGGTGTTTGGCAGAACCTCAGAGCGAGAAGGCAGTCAAGGCATCTGGTTTCCTCCAGACTGGTCTCATTACCTATACCTTTCACCTTGTGGTTGTGACATTTGGCATGCAGGAAACAGCAAGCTTTGCTCTCTCAGTGGGGCAGAGTAAGCAGAAGGAGCTGAATTCAGCAGGCCAGTGGTTTTTAAGGGGTAAGCCCCAGACTTGGTGTTTAAAGATTTTCTTAATTTGAACCTCAAAGTTCTACAAGGTGGAACCCCTAACCCAATCTGCACAGGTGCCCTCCCACAACTGGACATCAGTGTGACCTCCATGAGGCATCTGGCTATTCTTGGTTCCTGGTGGGGTCACCTCCACTCACACAAAGAGGGACTTGAGGTGAGGCCTGAGGACAAATCACCTGAAGTTTCCCTCTGCAAAGTTGGTGGAACCACAGTCCCATCTGCCAGGCCCTGGTGAGGAGAACAGCAGGTCCTGAGCAAAGAAGGGTCCTTTGCAGAGTGATGTCAGAGGGCGGTTTTTGAGCTTTCTATAAGCTATAGCTTTGTTTATTTCACCTGTTCACTTACTGTATAATTTAAAGTCATTTATGTAGCTGAGACACTTCCGTATTTCATTCATTTCATGAACGTTTTATTTTGCTAAATCTTATGTCATGTGTAGGCTGTAATATGTGTACACTGTGTTTAAGAGAAAAGAAAAAAACAAAACCCACATGCCACCATTTTTCTGAATCAAATTCTACAGTGGAATGGAGGGTAAAGACTTCTACTGTGCAGGCAGCTAGACTGGTAAATGGGGGAACTAGAAGGAACGAGCACTGCAGAGTCTTCTAGAGTCCTTCCTCCCTGTTGGCATCCTAGTGCTTTCTGGACTACGAAGGAGAGAAAAAACAGCAAGTACATTCACATCCTTGCTCTATATCAATTGGCCCTGGGCAGTCTGCTGGTTATTCCCATTCCTTTTCCCCTCTAGTCCATCCGTCCACCCCATTGAGAAGCCATGGTTTCACCTAAACATCCAGGGCCACGGGACCTGTGATTCTGAGATGTCTTGGCCTCCTCTGGCCCTCTCTTCTGCCTCCCTATGCAGGAGGCACCACATCTAGGCTCTCACTTCTCAGGCCAGTGCTCCATCTGGCCAGCACTGGGAGACTCCTGTGCTTTTTTACCCTTGCACAGCCCCAGACACATAATGGCAATTAGGCTACAGCCCATGAGCACCGTTTTTCATACTGTGGTTCTTGAGCAATTAAAAAAAACTGACTTATTGGAACAGCTGTCTCAGAGAAACCGTGGTCCCCAGGAGACAACACCCTGCCCTGCCTCTGGCCTTCATCATGTGCTAGCTGACCAGCAACATGGATTAACCAAAAATGACACCCAGTGTTTGGCTCCTGGCTGTGAAAGTAAAAATATCACTAAAAGAGTTTCACACAAGAAAAACACTTTAAAAATTCTGACAGCAAAAACAAAACACAATGGGCAAGTGTTGGGGAGATGGATTATCAACAGCTTCCAAACCGGCTCCTGGGAGGCACGAGGGGAGGAGCTTCATGAATTCTCCCAGGCACCAACCTCCTTCCTCCGTAGCTGGTCTGCTGTCCTGAGACCCAGAAGTGATGGAGAGAAACCAACTAGAGAAAACCCTGTCTGGAAGGAATGTATTTGTTGCTAAATTTTGTAGCACTGTTTACAGTTTTCCTCCATGTTATTTATGAATTTTATATTCCATGAATGTATATTGTCTTGTAATGTTGCATAATGTTCACTTTTTATAGTGTGTCCTTTATTCTAAACAGTAAAGTGGTTTTATTTCTATCACATACCTGCAGTCTCTTGCTTCTTTGTGTCCTGACCGCCACTGGGGGTTATGGCGACCACAGAGGGTCTCAGAAGTCAGGTCCTGCCTGCTTTGGCCCCTGGCCTGTGCGTAGTCGCTTCCCTCCATTCAATTCCACAGCATGGACCCACCCTGCCCCAGCCCTTTCCCCAGGTGGGAGCATTTTCAGAAGAAGCATCCTAGACTTCCTGTGGCAGCTAGTGCAGCTCTGACCTTCTTCCCTGATTCTATGACCAAGGTTCACCCCAGTTCTACGGAATCTGGATCAACATCTAATTACCTGTTAGTGGTTCGGGTATTCCCAGACTGAAGCCCTGACTTAGCCTTCCCTATTTTCTTTCTTAGAATCTCAACCTAGTGGAAGTGGGAGGGGGAGGCTCAAACAGCAGTCCTCGATGCCAAATGCCTGCCTGGAATTTCAAGTATGACTTGGCCTAGTTGGGAATGCCAGGAACTCACTACAGCCGTGCAACACCCCTCCCCCACCCTGGCTCCACTCAGAACTTACAGCTGGGCCTGTCACCCTCAATGGGCTGGGCTGGCGGTAAACCCCTCACCCAAATATTATCCCACTGTTGACAATGTTTCAAGGTATGGCTTTGCCCCAATTTTAAAACTACTCTATTTTGAGAACCTATTGTATGCCACTGAGAAGGAAATGGCACCCCACTCCAGGACTCTTGCCTGGAAAATCCCATGGATGAAGAAGCCTGGTGGGCTGCAGTCCATGGGGTCGCTGAGAGTTGGACATGACTGGGCGACTTCACTTTCACTTTTCACTTTCACGCATTGGAGAAGGAAATGGCAACCACTCCAGTGCTCTTGCCTGGAGAATCCCAGGGACGGGGGGGGCCTAGTGGGCTGCCGTCTGTGGGGTCGCACAGAGTCGGACACGACTGAAGCGACTTAGCAGCAGCAGCAGCATTGGACACCAAGCACAGTACCCTGTATACATGATCGTGTTAAATCTCAACAACTCAGTGAAGTGGTTCCACTGTCATCCATGGTTTTCAGCCAAGGAAGCTGAGGCTCACAGAGATCTGGGACAGAACTGGGATTCAAACTCAGGCTGGTTTGAGGATAAATCCTGACTTTTCTTCACCGTTTCTCACTTTGTTGGAATATGCCAGGTTCTACATGCCCCCTTCTTGTTCCAACCAGCACACCCTGGCTGGTAGGACACCTCACTAGATCAGATACAAGGGAAAGATAGTCAATGAGAAACATTTTTGCCTGCTTAGACTGTCCCCCCACCTGGAGACACCTATCAGTGTCTCCAAATAGGACTTGGAAGCTCAGTTGCCTAAGCTTGGGACTAAAAGCAGACTGTTGGAACCCTGTTAACCATCTTGTGCCTCAAGACTCGTGTTCTTTGCAAGGTATGCACGGGGCCATGGCCCTGTATTCCTTTAACCAGTTTAACAAGACCACTGACCATGAGAGCAGGTATGTCACGGGCTCTTTCCAGCAGCCCAGAACTCTTCCAGCCAACTTCTTTCGGCTGCAGGATGGAGAGCTCCCCACCTCATACCCAAAAAGACATTCACCTTTCCCACCCTCCAAACGGGAGGCTATCCCACATATTCGAAGCTAAACTCCAACCACTTCCCAGGGACAACCTTGGGTATATTCAAAAGTTTGAGGGCAAAGAGGATGCACAAGGAAACTGCCCTTTGACGATTAATGGAAACAAAATATCACTGCTTTTATTAAAATAAGAGTTGAAACCAAGTCCTGCACAGGGTTCACATGAAATAACATTCTACCTTAGAAACATCTTTCACCTTTACTATCAACCTTTGTTTCCAATTGCCAGCTCAAGTTGTCCCCTGATTTGCTGAAAATTCCATGTCCCACGGAATGCTGTGTGTCTTTGTCATTTACTCTACCACCTGAAATTTCACCTGGAGACCTGACTCTTCCCCTGGAGAGCCAGGCGTTCCCACAGGATGTCACAGCTCTTCCTTAGTGCTTCGGTGGTCAGGAAGCAGCCCCCATGCTGACCTCCTCCATTCAAATGGACTGAGTATATGGACATCTGTATTTATTCCATTCCACAAAAATAATCAGAACGAAAAAAGGTACTCACCATTGGCTTGTGATTGGGGAAAAATGTTTGCTCCACAAGCGGGAACTTCTCAGGACCCAGTGAATGGAAGATCTTAATGAGCTGAGAAAACTAGGACAGAATATGACAGAACATTGGTCAACCACTGTTTCCTGGTATGGCGAAACATCACACTTGATCCCAGGCCTCAAGCACCTATCTGCTCCAGTAGCTGCTCCCTGTCCCCAGGATAAAGGCCAGAGTCCTTGACTGGACATTCGTCCTCTCTAGTCTCTTCCATCATCCACCTTACTCAGCAGCCCTGGGAGCTCATTCTGTGCCCAGCACTGTGCTCGCCGGCACACACAGCTATACATATATAGCATATAAACATCCATGTGTTGTTCGAGGCAACACACTGAGCATGTGAGACCAGGTCTGGAGGAAAGACAGCCTGTGGGCAGATGGCTGAGATAACAACATCTTGCTGGAGGGAAGTGAGGGGCTTGTGGGACCTGGAAGAGGAACAGACAGGGGGTGAGGATGACTTCAGGAGCAGATGACATAAGAGAAGGAGGAAGGGCATTCCAGTGTGCAGTGAGACAGCTGTGTGCTAGAGATGCTCAGCGGACAATGAGCTGGGAATTCACCCATCAGGCAAAGGGAGCTGTCGGTGAACAAAAGCAGAGAAGAGCAAGGTAGACTCTGATCAGAAAGAAGAAATCAGGTGCAGTGTAAGGCCTAATGTGGATGCCTAGTGGCTGAAAGAGGAGCTAAGTCTTGTGCCTAACTGACTTTGGGGTAAACTCAATACTGAGAGCTCACAAGCAAAGAACAGATAACTTAGGAACTCTCTGCATCATGCCAGGATTGGAAGATTCTTGGGCTGTAGCCCGCCGATGTGGTGCAACATGCTGTCAGGTTAGTAGGCTTGAGGGACCTCAGAAATATGAGAAATGATGGGAGGGTCCCTCATTCTACAAATAAGGAAACTGAAGTCCAGAGAAGGAGAGAAATTCCATAATCAACTAAGAGTTTTGGAGAATGTCCAGCTTCACTACTTACTACTAGCAACCTAAGTCTCAGTTTCCTCTTCTGTCCAATGGAGACATTAGAAATACCTACTCATCAGGGTGAAGATCAAATATAATATGCATGTGAAAGGCTCAACACAGTGCACTTAGTACTAATGAACTGTACTTGCTACCATCACCAAGACTATGTGGGAAAACAAGGATGGTGAACTAACACCACTGAGGACCCTTCCTGGGTTATTGCAGGCCTAAAAGCTTAGTCAGGAAGAGTGAGGAGGAGACCAAGGCCATAGTAACAATGGTTAAAGACTACCCATATTTACTAAACGAATGCATATGTGCATTCAATAAATCCTGAGTGCCAGCTCTGCAGAAACCTTGTCACCATGTTCAAAGAGTGACAGCAGTAGGGTACCCCTCTCACCACTGACATTATTATAATGCAACACTGTACCATAACATGCTACAAAATATCTGTTAGGTAATAACTACAAGAAGGGGTTTGGGAGCCAAGTTGTTTCTTCAGTTGCTTTGAATAAAAGACTCCCTTATTACTGAGCCTCCCTGCTGGCAAATGGGTCCATTTCAGGGCCAGGAGGCCAGTCCCTGCTTCCCCCTTCCTTCTGAGTCAGGCTGGCCCCGCACCTACCACCCAGGGCTTGCTGCAGAAGTTGTAGACAGAATAGAGGGAGTTGACGGCAGGCAGCCCTCCATACTGGAGGCCGATGACCAGGCTGCGGTAGTCTTCGCCCAAGGCCATGCTGTAGGCGTGCTGGCGGACAAGAATGAAGTCCGGCTTGAAGGATCTGCCAAGAGAGGGACCAACAGCAGTGTTACATACTTGATGGGCTGAAGGGACAATCAGGACACCAAGCCAAAGCCTGCTGGGGACAGCACCTCAGTTCAGAATGGGGACAGGGTGGGGGAGTGGGGATGAGGAAGACCAGATGCAAACACTCAGCAACTGCAAAGTAAAAGGACTGAAAACAATTCACACTTTCTTTTATTTCTTTTTAAGGCTGCTTTCTAAATTTTTTATATTAAACAAGTATTTAATTTGACAATGGAAAAAAAAACATATCAAACAATTCAGTGAACATACTGTGGTTTTACTAGGCACTGTGGCAGATACACAAGTCACTGAGTCCTCACGATTGTCCTGGGATGTGGGTGCTGCTGCTGTCAATTCCGTCTCACAGATGAGTACCTGGAGGCTCAGGAAGACCAGGTCACTTGCTCACAAAGACACCCTGCAGGTAAGCGGCAGGGCCAGGGCTGTACAGCCTCAGGGCCCTGGATCACAATGATGGTGCCGCGCAGTGCCCTTCTAGTGCATCTCCAACACTTGTCCCTTTCAAGCGGCAACCTCTGGAAAGCATCAAGAGTAGTGATGCCATGGCTTGAGGACATGCCAGGCTCTGCCAGGTCCCTCTGGAGATAAGATCCTGACCGAAGCTCACCAGCAGACCGGGGTAAGGTCAGGACTATTTCTCCAATTTACAGATGGGAACACACTGCAAGTCAGAGATGTTGTGAACTTCCCCAAATCACAAAGCTGGGAAGCAGGAGAGCCACGTTTGAACACAGGTCATCTGACTCCAAGTCCACATGCTCTACCCTCCATCACACGGCTCCAGGTAGATTCACACAGTGTTTCATCCACACTGCCAAGGATCCACCTGTTTCTGGACTCCTCACTTCTAAGTCCAGAGAAAATCAAGACTCACAGTAGGTAGGTGGTTTACACTTAAAATGGTGTGATCCATCTGACTCATCCAGATACAGACACTTAGCTTCAAATAAACTGTAGTTCTTTAAAATAATTCAAATATAAATCAAAATAACTCTCAAAGGGCAAAGACTTGCCCCCCAGGGAAGACACTTTTTGAATTGCTCTGAGCTTGGGCCTTATGGTGCCTGTCCCCAGGATCAGGGTCGTTACAAGAACATGTTGAAGGAATGAATGATGTACATAAACATCACATCCCATTCCCAAAGAAAAGGGCAAGGGAGTCCCTGGCTAAGCTGTAACTGATCCTGAAGGTGGCCATGTGGACGGTGACATCTGAGTGTGGGTGGCATGTGCTCACGGAAGCAGTCAGTGATGTCACTGTGGTTAGGGTTGGGGTTGGCTAGAACCTTGGAGCTGCTATGCCCACATCCCTGCTGCACTCTCAGAGATGAACGAGTCCCACCAGGCATATTACAGACGGGGAAACTGAGCCCTATAGCCAGGCAGTGACACGTCCCAGGTCACCCAGCAACACCACGGCCCAGGTGGAGGACGTTCCGCATCCCTTCTCTCCTCCTGCCTCCCTGCCCTTTGCCCTGCACCCTGCAGTGTCTCACGGCAACAGACATGGAAGGAGGGGTGAAGGGGTGTGTCTGTCTCTAACAGGGATCCGATGACCGAAGGGAGCACTGACTTATAAACACTTTATACTTTTATCTGATTTTAAAACAGGAAGAAAGAAACAAAATTATCTGCAATTCTCAACACAGAAAATTCTAATAACCTTTAGAATAATAAGCACTTATTATTTGTGTTTTCTTATGTGTACATTATGACTCAATAATCTATTTTATGTGTATAATATGCATTAATATTCATAATTGATTTTGTTTTCTATTAATTATGATTTTGCTGTTTTCCACATATTATGGTGTATTTTCCTTATCAAAATAGCTTCAGAAATATAATTTCTAATGGCTTCCTAATAGTGCACTGAATGGATATACTATATTAAGCCAACCAATCATCTATTATTATCAAGTAGCCTCTTTCCAATATTTCACACATACCCATCTTTGCACACAAATTAACCTCATTTAAAATCATTTCTTCAAGATAGAGTCTAAGAAGTGGAATTGCTGGGTTAAAGGGTATGAACGTTTTAAAGGTACTCAGAAAACTCTCCCTTTTAAAATGTGCACATCACCAGGGCACATGACACTGTCTGTCTCACTGCAGCCTCATCAGTACAGCAGTTTTTACAAAATGCATTTTTCAATTTGATAAACCATTTCCCTCTAAAGATACCCTGCACCCCATTGCTGTTTCAGTTTTCATTTTTATGATTTTAGTAAGACGGAATACTTTTAATAACCATATGTACTTTCTTTACTATAGAAGTCTGCTCACATCTTTCCTCATTAAAAAAAAAAAAATGGGGTCTCCCTGTTTCCTCACTGACAGGAGTTCTGAGCTAGGATGGTGCCTTCATCTGTCATGTGTGGTAATGTTTTTACTAGTTGGTTGTCTTTTTATTTATGACTGTGAATCTTAACAAAACATGTGAGCACATTTTCCATTCCCCCTGAGTCTTTCCCTTTTGATTTTGCTCTCTGCTTTGAAGCTCCGAGGGTCCTCTGGGGCCCCAGTTCTGACAGCGCGACGCGCCCTCTTCCCAGCAGTGTGGTCTTCCTCTCAGACAACAGTGCCAGCAGACTCGGTGCCTCACTCGGGGAACTCCACTCTGCTCTGGGAGGAAGCAAAAGTCTTGCGCTGGCCAGAATCCAATGGCTTGTCTCGGGATGCTCCAACTCTAGTCCCGGATATTACGGTGCTCTCTCTCAAGAGCACTTAGAACTCACCTCTAAACCAGATCTCTCTTACTCTTTGAAATAAAGTAGTGGCAACCTCCACTTTGTCTTCCAGGATTTGAGAACTTACCTCAAGCTTCCATATTCCAAGTGCTCTTTTAAAATTACACATCAGCTCCATGCTCAAAACCCTCAGAAGGCTTCTGTCTTTCTGATAACAAATCCTCACCTCCTTACCATGGCTACAAAGCCCCTGCCAGCCTCTCCATTATCATTTCTACTTTCTCCCTCCCTCACCTCCACCAAGGGCTTCCCAGGTGGCACTAGTGGTAAAGAACCTGCCTGCCAACGCAGGAGATGTAAGAGTTGTGGGTTCGATCCCTGGGTCAGGAAGATCCCCTGGAGGAGGGCATGGCAACCCACTCCAGTATTCTTGCCTGGAGATTCCCATGGACAGAGTAGCCCAGAGGGCACAGTCCATGGGGTCATAAAGAGCTGGACACGACTGAAGTGACTTAGCAGCAGCAGCACCTCCACCAAAACCACACTGACAACTGCTCCTCCCTTTAATTTCTTTTCCTGGAGGCTCTTTTCCCAAATGGTGTGTGGCTGCCTCATTCTTGTCACTTACTGGCTTAAATTCATTTCCTGAAGGACACCTGTCCTGTTAGCTCTATTGAAATTTTCCTCAACCCTCTTATTGCCCTATTTTCTTCACAGCTCTTATGACAACTGTATTTCTCCAGTTTATATATTTAGTTGTTTATTGTCTGTCTCTCCCCTCTAAAGATGTCAGCTCAATGAGAACAGGGGACCTGCTCAGGTCCTTTTCAGTATTTTTAAATGAATGATGAAGCTAATGAATGCACATACACACAAAAGAAGGAGGGCTTCCCAGGTGGCGCAGTGGTAAAGAATCCCACAATGAGGAAGACCTGGCTTGGGTTGGGAAGATCCTCTGGAGGAGGGCAAGGCAACCCACTCCAGTGTTCTTGCCTGGAGAATTCAGTGGACAGAGGAGCCTAGCAAATACAGTCAACGGGGTTGCAAAGAGTCGGACACGACTGAGTGTGACTAACACTGCTGTTATGAAAGAATGAGTGAACGCGAAGTAGAAAAAGGAACGACCTCTTTCCTTGTGGTCCTAGAGAAGAGAAACAAGATTAATGGCCAAAGTAGCAAGGAAATTAACACGTGGCCCCTAATAACCAGCGGGCTGCCTTACAATGAGTCCTGTGTTCCTGGAGATATGTTAGCATCACCAAGAAAGTTTGAACCCTAGGAAATGCAAGTTGGACCCTATGACTGCTTAAGATCCTCAGATACAATATATGAGAAATAAACACTTTCCATGAGTACTATATCAGGGAGAACCAGGCATGTGTCACAGGTCAAATTCTGCCATTGGCTGTTGCACAGAATGCACAGTGTCTTCCACACAGCCTGGGATTTGCATGGAAGGTGAAAAATTAGAGACACCAGCATGCAGTTCCTCCCTCCACACCCAGCACCCAAGGTTCTCTGTGCAGTCAGGGAATAGCCACATCCTGCATGTCACCCCACCATCCAAGGATGTAGTCAGTAGTTTCAGGCCCTGACAGTGGGCCAAGAACCCCTGTAGAGGCTGGAAATCCTAAGATGATTGGGACATCATTCCTCCTTTCACAAGACTCACAGTCCTAGAGGAGATGGGTGCAATGCTAAAGGATAAGGATTTGCTAAAAGAACAAATGAAAAAGTGAGTGAGTGAAACAACAGAGACAAATACAAAACTCTAAGGTGGCCCAGCTCTCTCTGGGGCGGGTGTGGGTGAGTGTGTGCTGGAGGGCTCGGGTCAAGAAAGAAAGGTAGGGGTTTGTCACATGGACAAGGTTTTAAGGGTTTCCAGGTGGAGGGAACAGCACCTGCAACTGAATGCAGGGATCCCGGAAATGAGAAGACAGTGGTCTGTGAGTTTTATCAGCTCAGTATATGTCTCTTTTGGGAGGGGAAATAGACTCCCTGATAAAATTCTCTCCAATCAGAGAACTGCATTTCTCTGGGCAGTAACTGATCTAAGGATTGCATTGCTGATGTCAAAAGGGTTGTCACAATCCACCCTGAGTGGCTAGCTAAGCTCGAGTGACATCACCTGGGTTGACAGACAGCGTTTTCCTGCTCCATGAAAGGATCCCACCTGTAACAGGGAGACGCAAGGCTGTCTGCCTCACCGAGCCCCTGAATCCTCCTGAGCCTAACACTGGAGTCATCCTTCTCTTCTGAG